CGGGGATTGAGAGGGAGTCCTGATATGTATAGGTTTGCTGGACGGGGAGTGGAAGGGGGCCCAGGGTTATATAGGTGTGTCCGGACGGGGAGTGGAAGGGGGCCCAGGGTTATATAGGTTTGTCCGGACGGGGACTGAGAAGGATTCCAGGGTTATATAGGTTTGTCTGGACGGGGACTGAGAGGGAGTCCAGATATATATAGGTGTGTCCGGACGGGGAGTGGAAGGGGGCCCATGTTTATATAGGTTTGTCCGGACAGGGAGTGAGAGGGGGTCCAGGGTTATATAGGTTTGTCCGGACGGGGACTGAGAGGGAGTCCAGGGTTATATAGGTTTGTCCGGACGGGGAGTGAGAGGGAGTCCAGGGTTATATAGGTTTGTCCGGACGGGGACTGAGAGGGGTCCAGGGTTATATAGGTTTGTCTGGACGGGGAGTGAGAGGGAGTCCAGGGTTATATAGGTTTGTCCGGACGGGGACTGAGAGGGGATCCAGGGTAATAAATAGGTTTGTCCGGAAGGGGAGTGAGAGGGAGTCCAGGGTTATATAGGTTTGTCTGGACGGGGAGTGAGAGGGGGTCCAGGGTCATATAGGTTTGTCCGAACGGGGAGTGAGAGGGAGTCCATGGTTATATAGGTTTGTCCGGACGGGGAGTGAGAGGGGGTCCAGATTATATAGGTGTGTCCGGACGGGGAAAGTGAAGAAGTCCAGGGTTATTTAGGTTTGTGCGGACGGATGGTCTGAAAAGTCCTGGTTTATTTAGTTTTGTAGATGCTGGAAAGTCTTTGTTGGTATAAGGTTATCTGAACGTTGAGTCCGAGGGAGTCTTGTTTACAGGTTTTCCGGAGCCGGAATGTTTCCGGAGTCATGAGACCGCGAGACAAGCAGTCAACTCGCGTCAGAAGTTGCATTAGTTTAAACCCATAATCGAAATTCTAATTAGTGAAGCGGATAAATAAATTATTACGTCTTAGCCTGTAATAAAAAAAATAATAAAATGTTCAGTTCGGTGAGAATAACAGAAGTTTGCAGTGGCCAACAGATCAAAGGGAGGTTTTATTCAGCATTACACTTTATGATTATGTACCAACCTGAGACTGGCCAGTCAGTGCTTGTCTCTCCTTAAACATGCAGCATTTAACACACAACGAGTCATACGAACATTTAAAACCCACAGGTGTAGGGATCACCTTTAATTGTCAGGTAAGCCCGGAAAGCAAAATGTGAACTGATCAGTACCATACCGAAGTATGGAAGCTGGCGATCAGGAGAATCAGGTGTCCCGTGTTATAATTGGTCGGATTAGTCCCGGGTTATCGTGGCTCGCTGGCAGATACCTGATGAGTACGAGAAGGGGTGAGAGTGAATTATTCATCGTGTTTGGCTGAGAATTAAGTGATCTCCCGCTTTCCCTTGTCCTCCCCCACTGCACGCGACACCGGGACGCGTCTATGGAGGTACAATCTAGTCCCCTGCTGTGATGTGCAAGTCGCCAGCACGTGCTCGAAGTGTTCAGTTATGTCTCGTCAGCTCAACTCGTCATTGCTTTTACTGGCCATAGTGCTGGTAGGTAAGTAGTACCACGTGTGTCACATCGGAATTATATATATATAACTGGTATCTTGTCCATGTTATTCTGAGGTAACATGCACGCATAACTAAGAACTTTAACTTATTTAGCCGGAAATAAGACAAAGGTTTATACTTTAATTGATGTTTATGTTCTGTTGTCGTGTAATATTGACAAAGTCTTCGTCATAACTCGCTGTTCCAGGACGTTTTACGTTGTAGATTTGTCAAACTACGACAGATTATAACCTCACATAAAAATACTTAAATCGTCTTTTCATAATTCAATGTAATTCAAACATTACCCAATTTAAAGATAAATTTAATTTCAAAATCAGTGTCTGTAAATTAAATAGAACTTGTGAACTGTGGATTAGTCAAGTTTAACTTACAAATTTAATTTGATTTACAATAGATATGCGTTGACATACGTGAATCTAGGTATATGGGAGATATAATTAGGTTGCATCGAAGTTAAACGATGTATTTAATGGTGTTATGATTCCAGTCAGGAAGAGACGAGATATGACTTTGATTTATTATATATATCTACAGTACTCGGATTTACTTATATACTTGTCCATCTGGTCTGGCACGCGAATCTCTCGCGCATCGTTATACATTTATCAGATACAGCAGCTGTGATCTGTAATTTACTTGTTGTATTTACAAAAGATGTCAATTGATTAAGCTTGGCCAATGTTGTTGGTATGACAGCACGTGAAGCACGTGTAATTCCATGAAGGACGTGCATGTATACTGTTGTTATTTTATTGGTGATTTGTTTTAATTTTTAAAATGCGTTCTAGAAGGAATATATAATTACGCACAGAAACAATCTAGAATTTCACGTCCTTTTTCCATAAGGCAGCAATTGAAAATCTCAATTTTAACACCTCCCAGGTGGCATGGCCCCGGTTTACGGATGAGGCTAATCGGCGTGCACAGAATCGTGAAAGTTTAGGAGTCAATCACGATCGCGGCTCCTACAATGTGAAAACAGGAGATTTTTTTTTACTAGACAGGCGACTGCAGTCTAAGAAATGCTTTAAAGTCATTGATTAAGCAACGTTCTCATGAGAGATGCATTTGTAGTCTCAGCTTTTCAATCTTGAATGTATCCTTGAGCGAAAATTTTGAAAACGCCATGTTTAGTAGATAATGCTTTCGTAGTTGCCTATTAAATTGTCAAAGTTAGATATCAAACGGAGTTCTTTATTGGTTGTTTAACTAGTATCGCGACCAGGTGCACTGAAGGCGCCCCGTGCACCGATAGCGAGATGCAGTAACGATTGTGTCAGATACCCAGCTTCGGTCAGTCACGCTATCAACCGGTACATGCCAGTCTAGCGGTTAAAAGTCCGATAACAATGTCGTTAAAAGTTAAGTGTTATTGTGTTGTACGAATTTTTTTATTTCTTTCGGGAGGAGAGCGGAATTATGACACTACTATGATTCTTACTCCCATGCCAATATATTACAGTGAAATCCACACAATACATAAGTATAGTGGGTACTATCTTATTCTAAAATTAGATTGGACTACACAGTATAATTAACCTATCATGATCGGACAGTTTGTTGTAAGATTCTTTGTAGGTACAGTCGTACACCAACACGGTATGTCATTATCCCTTACCTTATCTCGTTTTAAAAGTCATTGGAAAATAATTGTATTTCACCAGTTTTACATACTCCGTGTTATTAAGTAGATCTGTCTGCTCTATATTATTGATCAACGGTACCATGTCACGTGACAATTACAGTGATTAAAGCATTTAAATATGAAGGATAATTTGAACATTTATATCATTTTACAGATATACGTGGCACTTAATGAACATAGCATATGTAGATCAAAACAAGACAGACAATCATAGTGTTTGTGTGAAACCAGCTTAGCTCAAGTCGTTATGCTTTGCACTCCTGTTGAAGGAGGCATTTAGCTAAAATGAATAAAACATGTCGGAATGATTGCAAATCTTTTTATTATTTTTTCCATTTTATTGGCAGAATTTTAACGTTTTTCCAATTTGTTGTTGTTATTTCTTTGCACGTATAAGTGATATATATGGATTTTACATGTATAAATCATTGGTGTTACTTCTGATGTCAAACGCCAGACTCTGTTTTACTTCGTTTATCTGTAATAACCATTGAATTCTAAAGGCACACACTCCCTGAAGATCCATGTTTGATTTCCAGTATATATTCATTAAAAGGGAGGTGGCATTGCTGGTATGTTGAACATGAAACCTGAAACCTTATGGTGAGATCTTTATATACACTGAAACGATTTTAAAACCGATTTTATCAGTCGCCCGAGCTCCGAAATCACTCTACAATGTCTATAGGGAGTTAAGAATGCCTATCATGTATTTCCCATTGAAAAATCACTTTGAATTCATTTGGTTGAATTAGGAAATAAAGCATATCCGCATAGACATAAATTGTAGAAAATAAAAAAGATAGCGAGCAGAGTGCTCCGAGTCTGATATTTAGCAAAGTATTGTCCTAAGATTAACATCAGTTATTTATGATATATGATTTTTTGGAATATAAATAATAATAATTCACCTTTCCCAAAGTATTTCCTATTTATGTCATGAGAAAATAGAGTAATTATCTTTACATTACTTATTTTGCCCACAAAGCTCAAAAGAAAAGTAGGGATTGTATTATTGTATCCAGGGAGTTAGAACGTTTGTGAATACAGAGAAGAGGAGGGTAGGGGGGCAGCAGAGAAAGAAAATAAAGTGTAGAGGGAAAAAGAGTTGGAAAGGGAAAGAAGGAGGGAAAATGGAAAAGAAAGAAAACTTGAATTTTGTATTGGATACACAAGAATCTGAGTTTTTACGTAGATATAAGGATTTATTAGAGTAGACTCTATGTGACGTGTTTAACCAGTTCAAATTCTATAAAATATGTTGATATGTACATTAGATATATGTGAAGATGACATCAACAGGAGTGTCCAACCGTAATAAGATACACGTATATAGATGACATTCAATGGTACATACACCGCCAGGACAAGCATTTCCCACCTGCTCGGTTTGATATTTCAATTTATGTTTATTTGAAATTTCAAATACATGAATAAAAAACATTATCACATTACTAGGTCAAATAAAACGTCGATTTTGTACAGATTTTGCACATGTATAATGTTGATATTAAAAATCTGTGGTAATACGAGCAAATACATGAAATATAACCTTGAATTTGACACTGAAGACCCAGTAATGAGCTGGAAAGCCTTGTTGTTAATAATTCCGTGTTGTATAACCCCTGTTAACGGTTTTGATATATCTGCATTTCGAATCATTTGACAGTAATGAAATCGGCGATAGTCGTATGATAAATGACTCAAGCAAAATTTGTCCCAGGTTGACAGATTTTTTATTCACTAATTCATTTGTCTGTGTTACAGATGTGGCTGATTTGTCGCCAGAAAAGCGCCTGATAAAAACCCTGTTAGCCGATTATGAGGAGCGCGGGAAAATGGGTCGCCCGGTGGAGCATTTTAACGATACTCTCGTGGTCAATTACGGCCTCAGCCTCATACAGATACTGGACCTAGATGAGCGCAACCAGGTCCTAAGTACCAACGTCTGGGCTACTTACGTAAGTACCGACGTGTGAGTAGCTGTCGCAGCGCTATACGCAGATGCAAGTGTCTCCTCCGTTATAAAATGCCCCTTGGTGTGAATCTCTGCGAAGGACTTTGTCCGTTTGGCGGGTCTCCTCCGTAGTATAATGTTTCCTTGTGTGATCTCTTCCGTAATACCATGTTCATTGCATGAGTTTCCTCTATAGGACAATGTTCCCAATATGTGAGTTACCTCTGCGTCCTTTTTTTCTTATTTGTAAGTCTCTTCTTTTGTGTCATGTCTGTTACACGGATTGACCTCCATAGGGCAATGTTTCCGCGTGGGAGCCTCCTCCGTTGTATGTTGTCCTTATGTTTGAATCTCTAGTACCATGTTCATGGTGTAAGTCTCCCCCGTAAAACAATGTTCCTGAGTATGTGTCTCCTCCGTTGTAGGCTGTCCTTATGTTTGAATCTCTAGTACCATGTCCATGGCGTAAGGCTCCTCCGTAAAACAATGTTCCTGAGTGTGTGTCTCCTCCGTATAACAATGTTCCTGAGTATGTGTCTCCTCCGTTGTATATTGTCCCGATATGTTAGTTTCCGCCATCTTCCTTCCGTAACTTTCCAAGAATCATGAAAACCGTGTTGGGGTAACTAAAGATATGATTTCTTCTTGTTTCCTCACTTTCTGTGTGAAATTTTATTTTTTTTTTTGCGATTTTGATCGATGCTGTAATATATTTCAATTTCCATGTGTAACTTTCGTTTGCCATAACAGTTTCGGCATTTTAATTGCCTTTGGAGTCATACAATTTACATACTACAACCAGAGCAACGCTAACTAAAGCATGATGCACCCATCATGTATAGGGATATTGAAAATTGCAAGAAGTGGGGTTTAAGTGTGTACACGGTTATCCTTTCAAGCTATAATAAATGGTTAGTATGGAGTTTTGTTCCAAGATTCTGTCTCTGTAATCAATATCGGAGCGACCTTGCTGATCTGTGAAGTTAATCGGTCAAAACTAATTTAAGTTGCAAACAAATGATTTAAGCTTTCCTTGACATTGAAGGTAGGAAACCTAATTGACTGAGCTATTTTTGTACTGAAACTCAACATATTTTATCAGTATAATTTTAGATGTTACTGGCAAATTCTTCTGTGAAAATCCTTTAAGAAAACAGGACCTAGACCTAATTTGGTTCGATTTTGTTTTATCTTAATTGTTTGAAGTTTCATTAAGATCATATAAACATTCTAGCCGTCAGTAGATGTAAAGCGGTGAATCTATAATTGGTAACAGTAACCTGAATCTTATTCCTAGAGTTACGATTCGTGAACATGTTAGAGATGTTTTGGCTATGGACCCGTAGAAGTTTTCATATCATTTCATTTTAGTTATATGTCAATTGCAGCTGGTATTGAACGCCAAGTCGAAATATGTATTTATCTATGCTTGTGTGATATGAAGTTGGACGTGCTTTATGCTTGGTAGTTTACCTGGTTGTCCCGTGGTTATGTTGTTCTCATTTGAAAATATGACATTACTTACTTGAATTAATCAACCTGTACAAAGCATGTGTCGTCGATGAAGCAGAAGACGCTTACCCTATCGGAACACTTGGTATTATTTCCCATGTACTTTTTCACGAGTTTCCATGTGAATCTTTCCTTTGTCCTTATTTTGCCATCTGTTCTTAGAATTTGTATTTGAATTATGATTCTGTTAGCATGTCGGTATTTTATTTGTTGTTGTATGACATTGACCCTGGAGGTAGAGGGCTGATGTCAAATCTCGTGTTAACTTTTTCCATTTAATTTGAAAGCTTCAAAATCAGAAGAGCAATGATGACAAAATCTTAAAAAAAAAACAAAAAAACAAAAAAAAAACAAAAAACCTTGACGTATGTCCCTCCGACTTTTCAAAGTCCGACTAAGAAAATAAACCCGGGTATTTCCGACTTAGGAAGCCAACATGTTAGAACATAGAAATGATTTTTGTCATTTTGTTCGACTTATTTCATGGATTTCATGACTTTCATAGCACGTAAGTGATTGTATTTATTGTGGTTTTAATATCCTTTTTTAAAATTCTCCGTTCAACAATCCTAACGGCGATACGCAAACGCGACCCGTCCGTTTGTTACAATCAATGTTCCTCTCTTCATTTAGATATGCGTTTGTATAATGAATAATTCATGTTGCAGATATTGAACTTTGCTTAGATGTCACGCACCACTGAATAGATTGAATATCAGGCAAATAAGAATTGTACACCTAAGTTACTTTTGTTATATATACACGTTACTATGGAACATTTCATGGCGTTATGAGTTACTACATTCGTACATTGTAACAGTCATACAATCCTAATTGGCGCTTCCTTCATAACATCGTATTGATACCGCTTCTCGTGGATCACGTGTTGACGATCTGTATAACTGTGTGTTGGTGTGTTACCTTTATTTAGGTACACATGTACGCAGCTGAATGTAATTCTTCATTGTGATCAGATCTATGTTTTCGGTAAGGCTCTCATTATAACGCTGCATAGTTTATTAGGTTCTGGACGAATGATCGCGTATATGGCAGGGGAGACAATCCTGTATGTACTAGCTGCTGGTTACTAGCTAAAAAAGGCTCCAACACCGTTGTTCTCCGTTAGATACTATCTCGACTTTGTTGTTCTCTGACTAACACAGAGATGTAAGTGAATGCTAAATGCGCGTTACTATAATACTCTTAAGTCTTTTAGGGTGTTTTTACGATCATTACTGATTTGTCGATAAGGTCAGTCCATAGCATGCCAAAGGTCGTTAGCCTTCTGTTCCTATTACAGACTTGGAGGGATATCTACATGCAATGGGACCCGGAGAAGTACAGCAACATCACCAAGATCCGCGTGCCCAGCGGCAGTATCTGGCAACCCGACATAAAGCTGTACAATTAGTGAGTAAAGTTACACACAGCCGTCATAATCACGTTTTGAACCTCTTTATTATTAACCATTTTGTCAACACAACAACAAATGTCAACACTCACATTCTTAAAAGCACGTAAAATCCACGCTCACTTGCTTACAAAGTCACGATATCAACACCAATGTCCTTACAAAGTCACGATGTCAACACCAATGTCCTTACAAAGGCACGATGTCAACACCAATGTCCTTACAAAGTCACGATGTCAACACCAATGTCCTTACAAAGTCACGATGTCAACATCAATGTCCTTACAAAGTCACAATGTCAACACCAGCGGCCTTTCACATTGATAATGTTAACAAACAAGTCCTTACACAGCTGTAACCTTAACACATTCGCCAACGTCGGTAAGGTTAACAAGGTTAGACCTGAAATTAGATCACATCCATCATTACATGGGACCGATTGAGGTTCCCGCCTTTAAACTATACCTAGAATTAGAGTACGTGACGAGTTATGATTACACATCTTATGTTAAGGTATGGTGTTCTTGAACTCTAGTATTAACATAGTGTACATTCAAAAGATCTACAAGTTCTTATCAATCATGCCATATCTTTTAAAATGATGTGATTTTTTCTATATGGAAACAAATTGTATCATTTCAAACCTTAATCGAATGGACATTGAAAATTGTACATTCATAACATAACTCATTTTTTCAGTGCGGACGAACGGAGGGAGGAGAAGCGAGACGCATTATTCGTGGTGGAATCGGACGGTTCGGTACTCTGGATCCCACAAGCTATTTTCAAAAGCTCTTGTGCAATAGACATAATGCATTTCCCCTTTGATGTACAGATATGCAAGATGAAGTTTGGTTCCTGGACGTATGATGGCAGTAAGATCGACCTGTCGTTTGTGTACACGACAGAATCTGGCTTCGATATGACTGATTATGTCAAAAGTAATGAATGGGACATTAAAACGTCCTACTCCAAAAAGAACGTTATCCGCTATGCATGTTGTCCAGAGCCTTACGTCGACCTGACATTCATGCTGGAGATCCGACGGAAGCCCGCCTTCTACAACTACATACTCATTCTGCCGTGTATTCTGCTCTCCTCCCTTACATTGGTGCTCTTCTGGCTTCCTCCAGAGTCCCCGGCCAAAATGCAGTTAGGTAAGTGGTTCTGCGAGAGATTTCTGCATTAAAATGGTTCTAAGAAATCATAAGTTCTACAAATGAAACCTCTTTGCAAACGGCATGTAACAGATTCGATACAAGAATGAAAAAGAATGAGATAATGGGCGTGTCCTGGACAAGATAGTTGTTGCAATGATGGTTAGAATCTGTAATCAAGAATATATAAGGTGATTGAGGTCAAATTATTTGTGGTTTCCTCTATGGTCAGTAAGATTATAAATTAATGATCGGCCTCACTGTAATGCCATGACCTGATGTTCAGACGGCCATTGAAAGCCCTTGACCACACTAAGTGATATATGATTGGTTTTTAGTCGGGTACTTGCCGTCAGTATTAATCAGGAGAATGGTCCTCACAGTCCACATTTCCTCGTTAGTCTGTCGTCTGGATGTCGGTTCATCATCAGGTTTCATCCTCGCACCACCTAACCGGGATTACGTCGTACTTGAGTGCTGTCAGCACTCTCAAGTCAACAGTAGTAGTCATGAGGAAAGGGTCTAGTGTGAACTAATGCTGTTGATGACTCGACAAAAAATACCTTTCTTAAGCATAGGTTGACCGATAAAAAATTGTCCCTTCAGTAGAATATATCTATAGACTGGACGTGTACAGATCAAGGGAAATATCAGTTATCAAGATAGTCTGCACTACATGTCTGTAACTCGTCGATCCTGTCTACGTTTATGTAGTGGTGAAAGGAATAGCTAGATACATACATAGTTTTTATCAAAGCAATCACCGTTCCGGACACCGCCTTTTTAAACAACCGTAGTCGGATGTTAAAACGGAAATTGGAATGTCGGCTGGCACACGTAAGCTGAAGTTTGTCCGATTCCCTCACCTCTTTCAGGCATGAGTGTTTCGTTACCGCCCTTGGCGCTACATGAAGACATGGGTTCTGTAAGCTTTACATAATGCTATTACGAGGTGTGGCTGGATTTCTGTTTGATACATTTACGATAGAGGCGAGATGTGTAGTCGGCGAGGATGTGTTGAGAACGTATGGCGTTGTTGTATTGCACAGAAGCGAGACTTCGAAAGCGATTTGGCCATCATTATTTGGACTCTTGCCCTCTCTTATTTGCAATTAACTAAAACGCGTCATCGTGTCGTGACCTGCCTACAGTGGATTGATTATTCCACATTTTCATTCATATGCGTTCGGAAGTAAAATGAATCTGCGTGATATTGTTTACTCAACGTCAAAATTCAATGATACGAGTATAACGATATTTTAATAAAGTTTTCGGGAAAGTAATCATCTTGTATCGACTGGAGCCGGTATTTTTGTATGTGGGTACAAGTGAATTCCGCGACAGGTGGTGTTAGGTTAATTCAATAACGCGGGCTGTTACGGCGTGGAAGCGGTCTTCATCACCACTGATTTGTTTCTCTGTGACAGGCGTCAAATTGAAATAAGAGGCTGCCTCGGCTCTGTGCGCTTTAATGATGAAGTGGGGATACATAATATTAAAGCAACAACGGGGATAGATACGCTCTAACAATCTGAAGGCGATAGTCATAGGGGTCGGGAGGGCTCTGTAGTGGTAAATAAACATGTGACTGGGAGAGTCATGTGTATAAGGGGGTTAAGCAGGCTCTGTAGTGGCAAATAAACATGTGACTGGGAGAGTCAGGTATGTAAGGTGACTGAGAAGGCTCTGTAGTGACAGATAAACATGTGACTGGGAGAGTCATGTGTATATGGGGGTTGAGCAGGCTCTGTAGTGGCAAATAAACATGTGACTGTGAGAGTCAGGTATGTGGGGGACTGAGCAGGCTCTGTAGTGGCAGATAAACATGTGACTGGAAGAGTCAGGTATATGGGGGACTGAGCAGGCTCTGTAGTGACAGATAAACATGTGACAGGGAGAGGCAGGTATGTGGGGGACTGAGCAAGCTCTGTAGTGGCATATAAACATGTGACTCGGAGAGTCAGGTGTGTAAGAGGGTTGAGCAGACTCTGTAATGGCTGATAAACATGTGACTGGGAGAGTCAGGTATGTAAGGGGATTGGGCAGGGTCTGTAGTGGCAAATAAACATGTGACTGGGAGAGTCAAGTGTGTAAGGGGATTGAGCAGGCTCTGTAGCGGCAGATAAACATGTGACTCGGAGAGTCAGGTGAGTTAGGGAGTCGAACAGGCTTTGTATTGTATTGGCAGGCAAGCATGTGAAGCCAAGGTCAAGATGGGTAAGGGAATCGGCTAAGCTATGCATTGTCAGATAAACATGTGACTGGGAGAATCAGGTTGGTTAGGGAGTCGAACGGGCAAGATACGTAAGAGGATCGGCTTAGTTCTGTATTTGCAGATAAATATGAGGAGAGTCAGATGGGTTAGAGACATGTAAAAGCAAGGAGTAGATGTAGCTGCAGACGAAAATGTGGAGGTGAGGTTCTGATTAATATGTAAATGCAGACGACCATGAAGGTCTAGGGGAAGTGGTCGGGTAGGCTCTGTAGCTACAGACTAGGAAAAGGACCATTCATAATTTACTGGAAATCTATTCATGATTTTGGGTTATTTTTATATCAATCGAACGTGTACACAAGTATATGGAGTAACAAAGGACACAGAAAGTACGCACAATAACTGATAGAACTTACAAAACTGCAGTTTTTAGAACCATGATGAGCACTTTCAATCTCCTTCTCTGTTCTAGGTATGAACATATTCGTGGCGTTCTTTGTGCTGCTGTTGTTATTGGCGGAGTCTACGCCACCAGCCGCTTCCTCCATCCCCCTCATTGGTAGGTAACAGTTCTTTTCAGAAATTGTAGCAGAAATATTTTTGTACATTCCGTTGTCGCTCAGTAAATCACAAATTTATTCAAACAATAATAGAAATGTAGTCTTACGAGGAGATGCTTGCACCTTTATAGTTATTGTTGAGAGATGTTCCTACGTATTTAATGTCTGTAATGTCACGTTTCCAAAAGAAGAACTGTGGTAACCTGTACTAACGACGAAACCACCACATACGAACAAACATGGAACACGTAGAACATTAAATTGTACAAAGCGGGGTAATGATGCGCCTGTTGTTTTATAAAACTGTTCCTCTGTCGGATCTCTCAGTGTTCTGATAGGTTTGTCTCTCAGAAATCTACATTATGAAAACTGTTATGTTTAGAACATGCCTTAATTTTTGAAGTACACATTTTATTGCAAAGATGTTAATGGAATATTCGAAGATAGCACACTTTTCATACACCTTAGTGAACACCAGTCTCTGTGAGGATGTAAGTAAAACTCAAGGTAAGACGCTGAAGGAAAGAGTATAAAAGGTGATTAATTTTACGTTAATAATTAGAAGGGCTTATGTCAGAAACAAATGTTGAAAAAAACAGTTGTTGCCTGACTGGTTCAACCGCCTATTCAATACATTTAGTCGCGTATATAAAAAACAAGTTAACCAAGAGATGAATAAACTTTGAAAATAATTGTCATTGAATTCGACAAAGGTGTTGTAAATCTGGGATCCAGTCATTTCATCATCGTATGTTGTTTTCCATAATTGAGTTCAAGAATATTCATATGTATATTATCGTTTTCAATAGGACTATTAGCGCAATTAAGTATTAAGAAAACTATTGGTTAAAATATTGGTTGAATAACATTCTCAGCCAATAAGAAACGTTGTTTATTAAGCCTCTTGTCAAAATTAAGAACACCATGATTTTCAAAGAAGCATGGTCAGAGAGTATTTCGATTTTCGCAAAAACTGAAAGCATGTGGATTGGATTTCTATTGCTCCTTCATTTTACAGGAAATATAATGCTGTTTTCAGGCAAGTATGAAGTAATTAGCTCACTTGTTTACAGGTGCTTACTACTGTTTGAACATGGTCTTGATCACGCTATCCACCTTCTTGTCTGTCATCGTGGTGAACCTCTACTTCCGGGGCTCACGTACCGAGGTCCCCCGCATTATTAAAAAGGTGAGTCTCAAAATACAGTCATGTTTGGCAGTACTATTGTCTAATATCACTTACTTTTTGGTGAAGTGAATATATCTGGTGTCTTGTCAACAGATTCATCGTTGATTGCAACCATTTGTACATGTATGTCAGAGCTGGAAGTGGGTAAAAACAACATTGAAAATACCGACTTGTCAACAGAATCATGATGTAATTTCACATTCGTTGAAAATAGGGCAAATATGAACAAAGAAATTTACATAGAGATCCTTGAAAAAGTACAAGGATAATTAGACCAGTAAATTTCCTCTGTTTCATCGACGACATCCGCCATATAATTCTTGTCCAATCAAAGAAAGTAATGTCATGCTCCCAAATGAAAACGAGGTACTATTAAACAACATAGGAACCGCTAGGCAAACTAACGACCAGCAAACACAAAAAAGATTAATACCAATGAGATCATTGTGACGCGGAGAAATTCCCCATAATCTGCATAACGGGAAAATCATAATAAATATTATCAATGAGTCATTTTCAGTCCGGATTGGAATATCCGTATCACAGATGCACTTCTATACACGAATCTCATAGTATTGGTGGTGTATATTGCTTTGGTGTTGTAGACTTTATTCTGACACGAAAGTAAATAGTTCTGGTGTTGTAGTGTATACATAATCTTAGAGTTGTAGAATATCATTATTGTTATGTGTTGTATGTGATGTTCTGGAACTGTAGTATATATTATTCCGATGTACTGATTCAACAAAGCAACATTGATAGTTTCAACTGTATTCAGATCGAAAGCAACCAATCGTGGCTATTCCTTTTAAGTTAATAAGTATCATGTTCTTACTAAACTGAAGCTTCCTTATGTTGCACAGCAACCAATCGTGGCTATTCCTTTAAGTTAATAAGTATCATGTTCTTACTTAACTGGAACTTCCTTTTGTTGCACATGTATGATGTGCTTTAAAACCCATGTTGTACATAGACTATCCTACGGTTGAAGAAAACAAATAAGTTTCAGATGAGGCTCAATTCACAGTCAAGGATCATACAACAGATACACAAGGGAATAGCGTCTTTTAATACAAATTTAGTATTAGATACGATGGAGCCAAACATCACGTAGCTGTTTATAGGTTTTAGATATCGGATTTTATCAGCACATGCTAGATATTAAGCCCAGTCTATTTGCAACGTTTAATTAAGCAAAGACGGTCACGTCACACGGCGTCCTGTTCGAAACCAGAAAAATATCAAAATAAGCCCTTCGCAAGAAGTTATGAAATACACGGCATGAGCTGTCGTATCAATGGCGAAGGAGCCATTCCGATATCCTGATTAACTGTGATAACGCGCAATGTTGTTTTCTTTTTCAGGTGTTCGTGGAGATTTTAGCGTGTTTAATGTGTATGAAAGAGCAGATTCGAGAAAAACCCAAGTTGAAAAATCAGGGCCAAGTGATAAATAAAGACAAAAATTGCAAATATGACAAAGTGGGTTACTTTGAGATGCAGACAGAAGAGAGTTGGAAATGCCTTTCAAATGGTACGTCCAGTTTGAATAATGACCCCGAATCTCAACCACAGACGGCACTGCAAAGTACGATCAGTGGTCTGGAAGCGGACGTGCGCGAAATCAAGGTGCATCTGCGGCAGCTATTCGAACGTACTGTACAGCGGGAACTGAAGGAGAAGACCGCCAAGGAATGGAGGGTCGTCGCTCTCGTCCTCGACAGACTCTTCTTCTTCGTCTACCTAACGGCCATTGTTGTGTCAATTATAACGGTATTTCAAAATGTCCTTTTCCATTCACTTTCCTAGCGTGTCTCTCACATTCAGACACTCAGACCTAACCGTTTTTTCATTCTGCACGGTACTAACATGTTGTCTTTGGTCTTTCTTGTGTCACCTGTGACCTACGTTAGGGGGAAGGAGCACTGCATGCATTTTTAACTAACGCTCGCCTGATTCACTTCAACTTGCGGTCGGTCTTTCTAGCACGGAGATGTCGATGACACTTAGTCAACAGGCCACTCTTTGGGAACTTATGATAGAGGCATATGACAAAGTTTACACTGCAATAGACATGCTGATGTAATAATTGTATAGTATTATGGATTTACAACTAACACTTTTGATTTACAATAGATAGAAATGGATATTATGTAGACTAAGCTAGTTATAGGTTTTTCCCTGGGATGAAAAATCTACCACAACCCGGACTAACACTTTAGAAACAGAAATTGCACCTGTACCTTGTCGGAATGATAAAAGGTACATTTTCTTCTATCTCTATTATTTGCACTACTAACTCGGCATGCATTTTGTTGATTTAAAAGCAAATTTAATTTTGTTTCAAACTATTTCGCAGACAATGTATAACATCCAAACCGGAGGGACAGAGCACATCCGGAGTGTACACAATATAAACTGACTGGTCCTTGGTTGTGGATATCGATGGTGATGGGCATTTTCGCGATCTAGGTGGTGACAGGAATGTGCATGTAGCTTTGGTGATGAGGACATATAATTTCGTTTCTTTAGATAGAAATATGACTTGTGAGTGGTGGCCTATTTTAACCGGCATGCATGTGCCGGTGCCTACTTATTCCGACTAATGAAGCCAGCCTTACTTACATGGCTTAGCGCGAAAATTGTTGTGTTCTCGCGGATTGCCGGAAACAAGGACCATCGTTTGAAAAGTCATACTAAGTACCGTGGGATGCTGGATAACAATGCCATTCGACCAAAGCCTAGCCACCTGCAACGGGAATAATTCAATGGATGAAGAAATGTTGCACACTATGTACTGCTGAGGAATGTTACAGTAAACCATACGTTTAAGCTGTATACTGCTGACGAGTAAGAACAAATATTAAAGTACGGTTAAAGTTGAATTACTCGCATCTTCATAACATTCTCTATACTAAACAGACATACTAAGTGTGATGTATCTTCACCGTTTATCTGAGAGCCTTGAGGAACTGCTATTTCAATTTCAAAAGTGCCATGTCTCTGACAGTGCCGGTTCGCAGTGCATATCGGGACGATCGAGGGACACGATAACATGGTAGATTCTAGAGGCGATGGAGGAACTCGATAGCGCGGGTCTCGCACTCTTCAAGGGAAGGCGGAAGGAACCGATGGCGCAGGTCACCAGTTACTGTATCGTGTTGAGAGATCGCGTAGTTAAGTTGTCCTGGAGCAGCGCTAGCGTCATTTTGAGACGTCATTCATGTGTTTCTATTTGAGAACCAACAGTTAGGTCAAGTATTTTCATTAGTGTAACAACTTATTATGCGGAATACACGCATTTGCATAACCGAATCGTAAGATACAAGATTAATTTGATCTTTTGAAACTGATTCATTTTAGCAGGACTTGATAAAACCCATTGGGGTATGGAACATATATATCGGAATTCGCCTCATACTGGACGTGTAATGTGCATGGTGAAAAGTAGTGTACGGCGTAGTTGTGAGAACATTAGCAGCGCCCCTTAGTGAAACGGTGTATGATAGTTCGCATCTGGATAAACATTTATGTAAACTTGTGTATATATAAATATGTATTGGTCCATCCGTCGACTCGTCATTGTATACTTATTTAAGGTAAAAAGTCCCAGAGCTCAATGTTGTTTCTTAAACATTGAAGAGTTCTGTTGATGTCTTTCACAAAAGATGTGTTGCAATAGCAAAGACTTGCATTTTCCCAATAATTATAAATGTATACATTTTTTCACAACAAAACACCCAAAATCCTGGAGTCCTTTATTTGATAAAGTGTATGTATGCTTTAAACATCGTGTATGATCAAATTTTGCTATTTTTACACGTAGTCACATGTATTTACTTGTAGATATTTAAAATCCAGAGATGCAGCGAGCGAAAGTGATCGAAACCAGCAGAATATCGAGGATATAAACACCCTGAACACGTAATTCAATCTAAATACAAGCAACTATATCGACGAGCTTTTGGGCTTTTTACCTTCATCATTTGAATATTATAACAGAAAAGATATTTGATGTACTCGTTATGAAAACAATAATATGGTAATGCTCCAGCATCGTAGCCCGTCCAAAGCAAAGAGCCAACAAATTCTATTTTATGTCATCAGCCATCTTGTATATAATCTTTCATCTGGACATGCATAGTGATTGTTGTTCTCTTAGTATAGAACTAACCTTCCCGCACATACTACAGTAGAGACGTTAATTATCTGCATGCGGACAAAGACGATCTGGTGACGTAAATTATCTGCATGCGGACAAAGACGACCTGGTGACGTAAATTATCTGCAATGCAAGCAAGGATCAGACCTGGTGACGTAAATTATCTGCAATGCAAGCAAGGATTGGACCTGGTGACGTAAATTATCTGCAACGCCAGCAAGGATCGGACCTGGTGACGTAAATTATCTGCAATGCAAGCAAGAATCGGACCTGGTGACGTAAATTATCTGCAATGCGAGCAAGGATCGGGGAGCAAGGATCGGACCTGGTGACGTAAATTATCTGTAATAAGTACAAAGACTGACTTGGTGATCTATACCTAACAAAGATTGAACTGGTGACGTAAAGTATCAGTCATGTGGACAAAGACTGGACCTGGTGACCTTAATTATCAGCATTGCGAACAAAAGATTGAACTGGTGACGGAAATTATCGCCTATGCTGAGATAGATTGAACTGGTGACGTAAAGTATCTGTCATGCGGACAAAGACTGGACCTGGTGTCAGACGTTATCAGCATTGCGAACAAAATATTGAAATGGTGGCGTAAATTATCTGCAATGCTGACAAAGATTGGACCTGATGGTGTAATTCTCTGCAATGCGGACAAAGATTGGACTCTGATTGAGAAAGAAATACCACGACCATACCATACATATTACATAAACGACACAGTTAACTAATACTATGAACTTGTTGCATGCTACAAATTGTCAACCACGTTTTTACTGCAGGACGGTACATGTAAACAATGTATTAATTATGTAAACAGTGTGTGATGCATATTAGTACTAATTACCCTTGTCACTTGCGCATAATTATCAACATGATGTATTAACTAGTCATATATACATATGTGTGTCAACTTATGATCGTCACAAAATTGTCAAGAATCTTTTAACACGCGAAAAAAAATGCGCACCGCACATACTTTTCACGTGTAGACACTGTTGACCGAATCTATGTTTCAAAACTGCGTACACGAAAAGAGTCTATTAACATTAGTATTATGTTAAACAGGTATTTGGCAACATGGTATGTCTACAATTTTGTTATAAATGGGTTTGACATGTCTGTACCTATGTGTGTACAGTTGTATGATAGATAGTTTCTGTGACGAATCATTATCCATCACACACACACTAAAGCACAACAGGAAGAAATCCCTGAGTTGCGCTTACATATTTCTTTTTGATATATTACGAAAATGCATGTACCCGTTAAAGAATTATAGTAACACATTTGTAACAGATGTTGTATTGTCAAAGATGTTGTGATCAAAGATATGTCACTTAAGAATTTTTTCATCGTTAACAAAGGATATGTATGTTTTGTGAAATATACATTTGTAAACATCGTTATTATTTAAAACCAAATCACTTTCATTGTTGTTATTGGTAAATAATCTTGTGACATGAACTTATGGACGATAGTATGGTAACTTTACTATATTTAAATTATTTGAAATCATACAGCAAAAAATCATGGAATGGTTCTCAAAATTGTTTGTCCCGGTTATTGTGTTATTTTGAGGGCGATACCCGGCCATACGACCACGTGCTACAACACTTACAACATAAACCCATGAAGAACGGGTATAATACATAGATAAAATAACCTTGCTGTTATTATGATGACGTTGTCCATACCACATGTATATGAGATGTGGTAATAACTCCGTCAGCACCTGCACTCATCACACAACTAATGTGTAAGGATGACCTGAAGACCTTCACCACAGCATCATTACTTGTACAAGATAGTCCGAAAGTCTGGTGCCATTATAACTTAGTCTTTGATGCGCCGTCTATTCTGGTACGTTTTAGAAGTTATCGGAAGTTCTGTTACAATCAGTGCTATTATTTTCTCGGCTGCCACTTACCCTAATGTGCAGCACTTACAGTATGTAAAGCAATACGGCGTCCGATACTATTTTTACACTATGGGCACCGCATCCTCATTCACACTTCATTATGGCCTCGATCTGTAGATACTATTACAGCATACCCCTACTTTGTCATTCACACAATGTACATGTTGTACATTCAAACGACGGAGCACCTAATACATTTGCGTTTTTGGAGCGTGCATTGTCCTAAATTCTAAGGGCTACATATATAAACAGTGAATTGTTAACAACAATTGTGTAATTGTCCCACACACATGTACAGAATACGATGCATTGAGGACTTCACGTGCTTTCTTGCATGGTTCATAGTTACACACATGTAATTTACAACAAGCACAGCTTACATTCATATCTGTACATATGTGTCTTTATGTCGGTACATTTTGTGCTTGTTTAAATCGTACAGGTATTTGTATGCATGTGCAAGGTGAATCGTACACCTATCCGTTGCATTTGTATGTATTTCACGATGAAATTTCACGGTAGACTGTGCGTGTATCCCTGTGTATATTTCACAATGAATCGTACGCGTATTCATGTGTGTACTACACTAGGTGTATACCACGGAGACTGTACACGTGTCTCATTACGTCGTATTGTATCAAGTACACGCATGTGCCGATAACTTCTGATTTATGTACGCGCATGTGCCAGAAACTTACATTGGCCACACGTGTTGCCAATATAATTTCATATGTGTGTACTAGTGTATCGTAATTTTGTACATGTGTGTGGCTCCCTATAATATTTCGTATCTCACATAACAAGCTTAGTATACCTGATTTTTGTTATCGTCTCATTTCATCAAGAAAGGAGCAGTTGTACTATATATTCTTGTAGACTCTGAATCTATTTTGTATCCTATACGATTTCATATGATTGTACCGTGATTGTACAGTGTATGTTGAGCACACGACCAGCTCTCTGTCTCTCTCTACTTAATGTGTATGCGAGATAACAAATTGAAATAAAGAAATCAAGAAATAGTTCACGTGTTTCTTTTTAAAAGGAAGTGTTACCATCACCATTAATACAGTATCACATGGATTATACTTCGCGCAGTGATGAACGTTTGGTTGAAACAATCAAACATGCACCTGGATGATCGTAAAATGTATCAGTGATGTGACAATGTATTACACCTCTGTACTGATGGCATGTTAACACACAGGGATCCGACGCTGAGTAAGAACACGCACTTTATCTTTTATTTTTTTATTTTTTTTATAATAGTTGTCTTTTGATGGCTGACGTATAAAAATTCGATGCTATCCGAGAAAACAACATAACGAAAAGCTACAATCCATCAAAGCGTAAAGACGAAGAAGAAGCCAACCCCGGATACATACCTCTACAATATACATTTGTTGGGTCTTCTTCTTTTTGTTTTGTTGGGTGTTTACCTTCTCGTTTACGGTCTTG